CCCATCGTTTGGGCCTGTGCGCTGGTCTGGCGGATATGTGGCCGCCGTCGCCACCCCATCGACGCCTCGTCGCCGCCCATCGTTTCGGCCTGTGCGTCGGTCTGGCGGCTATGAGACTACCGCCGCCGCCCCGTCGACGCCGCGATTTGCATTGCATTGCAAAACACGGATTGCACCACATAGTTTGCACCACCTAGAACGCACCACGGTGATTGTACCACATATATCGCACACCATATACTGCACGATGTAGATTGCACAGCATAGGGTGCACCACATAGGTTGCACCACATGGATTGCACCACATAGATCGCCCAACATCGACTGCACTACACATGTTGCACAAAGTAGGTTGCTCAACCGCGCGACCTGCATTGCACCCCACAGATTGCACGACATAGATGCTGCACAACATACATGGCATCACAGATATTGCACCACGTAGACCGCAGCTCATATATCGCGCAGCATAGATCGCACAACATGGATTGCAGATAGCATATTCTCTTTTCTCAAAAGAGAATAGACTCTCCCCCCCGGTTTTATCTGTACACTTTTGTGTTCCAATTTACACCCGAATCTGCCCCATCGTCCATCCTAAAAATGGATTCATACCAATACCAGCCGAGCCGGGTTCGACACCCCCCGCCATCCTCTGCAAAACATACCATGCGCGCGCACTCGTTTATCAATAATCACAAGTTTCCAAGAGTCCCTTGAAACCAATGGGACGAAGTGCGCACGCGCGCGTCGTCGCGCGCGCATGCCGAAATCCTTCAAAAACCTGCGGTGTCGTAAGGATTTCAAAATCGAGTGCCCCAAAAACATATCAACACATAGGGTTTCGCAACACGAATGTTCAATATCAGCGTGCGCGCACGTTCTTGCGAATTCTTAAGTAAACCATTTGTTTTTTCAACACAGAACATGCTGCCAAACGGGCTTCGCGCACGCATGTCGAAGTCGTTCGAACGCCCTTGCGCGCGTGCCGCCGCGAGGATCCTTTGCAAACAATCTGTCGAAGTGCACGCGCGCACGCGTCGTCGCGCGCGCATGCCGAAATCTTTCCAAAACTGGAGCTTCCGCATTTATGTCAAAACCGAACGTGCAACAAACATGCAAAAACACATGGTGGTGTTTCAAACTGCTCATGGGATTCTGTCAAACGGGCCTCGCGCGCGCGCATGTCGATAGCTGGCCGCTGCGCGCGCGTGCTAGGGTCGGTGCGGCCGCAGAGATGCACCAGCCAATGCCAAGCATTCATCGCAATGGCCACCGCATGGGTTTTGCAAACCAAGTTGCGGGTGGGCGGGTGGGAGATTTGCAAGAGCATGGGATGTGCCAACGCGTATGTTAAAATCAATTGCACCACATATATTATCCCTGCTAAGAAAAACGAATAGACTCTACCTCTTCTCCCCCCGGGATTATCGCCCCCCCTTTTCGTATTACAATTTACATATGATTCTGCCCCATCGTCCATCCCTAGTATGAATTCGTACCATCCCAGGCAGGCCTGTATCCGCCCCACAGTCATCCTTTGCAAACAGTACTATGCGCGCTTCCTTTTTTATCAAAAGGCAGAAGTGTTCAGAAGTGCACTCGCGCGCGTCGTCGCGCGCGCATGCCGGAATCCTTCCAAAACCTTCGGTGTCGTAAGGGTTTCAAAATCGAGTGCCCAACACATATACAACATAGGGCTTCGCAACACGGGTTTTCAAACGCAGCGTGCGCGCGCTCTTGCGGATTATTAAGGCAACTACTGGTGCTTCAAATGTTTTAAGAAAATGCTCCCAAATGGGCTTCGCGCGCGCGTGTCGAAATCGTTCGAACGCCCTTGCGCTCGTGCCGTTGCGAGAATCCTTTTACCATAAATGAGACGAAGTGCACGCGCGTGCGTCGTCGCGCGCGCATGCCGAAATCCGTACAAAAACCGGAGACGCCGTAGCGATTTCAAAGCCGAATGTCCAAAACACATACAAACACATAGTTTCGCAACATCAGTTGTCGAAAAAGCGTGCGCTCGCGCTCTTGCGAATTCTTCAGGAAACCACAAGTTGTCCCATCAGTTCATGGAATTCTGCCAGACGGGCCTCTGGCACCGCAGGCCGACATCGTGCGCGCGTGCTGGGGGCGCACGGTCCGTGTCACAGAAAACCATGCGGGCCCTTTTCGCGCGTCGGCCGCGCGCGCATGTCGAAGTCTTTTCAAAACCTTTTATCGCGGACGCGAGGTCGCCGTCATCGTCGTCGTCGTGGCCGCGCCGTCGTCGGTGCGAACATCGTCACCACCATCGCTACTACCATCATCGTGTCTACCGATGTCGACGTTGCCATGGTACCGCGCCCACCCAAATCGCCGACTCGCAGTGAAATGCCCGCTGGGATGTGCCCAGCGGTCAGCGCCACGCTGGCCGCTGCGCGCTCGTGCTTGGGTTGGCGCGGCCGCAGAGATGGACCAGCCAACGTCAAGCACTCCTCGCAATCGCCGCCGCATGGGGTTTTGCAAACCAACTTGCGGGTTGGTGGGTGGGATGATTGCGCGGGCGGTGCACGGTAGTCAATTCTTCAGTTGAAAAATAAGTTCTACCATCCTCCCCCCCCCCGGACTGAAGACCCCCCAGGAACCGATGCAACACACATAGGGTTCTGCCCCATCGCCCATGCTTAATATGAATCCGTACCATCCCAGGCAAGCCGGTATCGCCCCCCCCCCCGACATCCTCCGCCAAAACATATGATGCGCGCGCATTCATTTATCAACAAGCATAAGTTGTCAAGAACCCCTTGCAAACAACAAGTGCACACGCACGCGTCGTCGCGCGCGCATGCCGACATTGTTCAGAAACCTTCGGTGTCGGATAGATTTCAACCCCGAGTTCCCAGAAAACATGAAAAGGAGGGTTTCGCAACACTCGTTTCCAAGAAAAACTTAAACGCGCGTTCTTGCGAAAACCCTACGGGAATCATAGGTGTTTCAAGATTCATAAAAGAAGAAATGTTGCCAAACGGGCTTCGCGCGCGCGCATATCGAAATCGTTCGACCGCCCTTGCGCGCGTGCCGTCGCGAGAACCTTCTGCAAACAATAAGCCGAAGTGCACGCGCGCGCGTCGTCGCGCACGCATGCGGAAATCCTTCAAAGACCATCGATGTCGAAAGGATTTCAAAATCAAGTGTCCAGAAACATACAAAACATAGGCGTCGCAACACGGATGTTCAACAAAAGCGTGCGCGCGCGCTCTTGCGTCGTCGTCGTCGCCGTCCTCCCTCCTCTCGTCGTCGTCGTCGTCGTCGCCGTCGTCGTCCACTGTCTTTCCTCGTCGTCGTCGTCGTCCTCTTTGGCGTCGTCGTCGTTTCCGTCGTCGTTGTCGCCGTGGTCGTCCTTCCTCCTCCCTCGTCGTCGTCGTCGTCCGTCGTCGGCGTCTCGTCGTCGTCCCTCCTATTTCGTCGCCGTCGTCTTCCCTCGTCCATCGTCGTTGTCGTCGTCGGCGTCGCCGTCCTCCCTCCTTCTTCGTCGTTCGCGTCGTCGCCGTCCTCCCTCCTCCCTCGTCGTTGTCGTCGTTGTCGCCGTCGTCGTCCTCCCTTTTCCCTCGTCGTCGTCGTCGTATTCGTTGGCGACGTCGTCGTCGTCGTCGTCGTCATCCTCGTCGTCGTCGTTGTCGTCGTGGTCGTCGTCGTTGAAGGCGTCGTCGTCGCCGTCGTCGTCGTCGGCATCGTCATGTTCGTCGTCGTCGTCGGCGTCGTCGTCGGCGTCGGCGTCGGCGTTGCCGTCGTCGTCGTCGTCGTCGTTGATGTCGTCGTCGTTGTCGAAGTCGTCGAAGACGTCGGTGTCGTCGTAGTCGTCGGCGTCGTCGTCGTTGTCGCTGTCGTCGTCGGCGTCGCTGTCGTTGCCAAGTGTAATTTGGTACCCACCGTCACGGTCTTAAGAAGTCTTGCGACCAAGTTGCTGGTGGGAGGGTGGGATGTTCGGACGAGCAGTGGAGAGGACAGCTTCAAGACAGTCAAAGTGAATTGCACCACTTACGTTGCACCACATGGATTGCACCACATACATTGTTTTCTGAAGAGCCTCGCAGACTGCCGACGTCCCCGCCGCCCCCTCACTCTTATTATTCGATCCTGCAGGGTGCTACGTATGTTGGCCGTGGTGTAGCGTCAATCCCCAACTCCCTCGATACATTGCAGTCGCAACGCGCGACGAAAGGCGACCGAGCGAGGGTCCGCAGACGAACGGGGCGAGGGCCGCAGAAGACGCCGAGCGGAAGGGACCGACCGAAACGCCGAGCAGGGGCCGAGAACCTGGCAGGGACAATACAACAGTCAGGGGAGGGGCACGGGCCGGGATGGAGGAGCACGGGAGGAGGCGGGAGGGGAGGCTGGGGAGGACCGCGACCAGCGGGGCGCCCGCGCGGGGGGCGGGGCGGGGCATCGAGGCGTGGTGCTGGATGGCCACGTGCAGCGGCGTCTTGCCGCCCGCGGCCAGCGCGTTCGGGCTGCGCTTGGCCTCCGCTCCGAGGGGGGAGGCCCTGCTTGTTCGAGTCGGCGGCGATGCGGTCGCGAAATTTTGGTTAGTGCGTCGCTCGATCAGTCCTGGCCCACCGCGCCTCTGCGCGACGCGCTACTTCGCGGTCCTCGGACGTCCGCGTGCCGAGCTTTTCCCCGCCTCCCACCTTGCGGGAGCGGAGCGACACGCCATCCGTTTGCAGGGCATAGCGTGTCGCCGGGGCCGCCGCCGCAACACGCTAGGCAAGAGTTCCCGACCGTATGGTCTTACTTCGGCGGCGAGTCCCCGGGCCTTCTGGGGAGTTTTTCTGTCTTCCCCGAAGACGCAGAAGCCTTCCCGGAAGGCGCGAGGGCTCCGGAAGAAGCCACGCCGCCGTCTGAGAAGGCCCCCTCCTCCTCACTTCCCCCCCCCTCGCTCGCCGCCGATCCTCGGGGTCCGAGGTCACCGCACGGTCTGTCGCCGCACGGTCTGGCAGGCCCCCGGGCGCGCCCCCGAGGCCGCGGCGGGCAGCAGGCGGAGAAGCCCGCACGCAGAGGGCGGCAGCCACAAGAGGCACCACCCGTCGGGGAGCTCCCACAGCAAGGCGCGCGGGCGACATGCCCCGAGACCCGGGCGGTGAGAGGGAGGGGAGGGAGGGAGGGAGGGAGGGAGAGGAGGGAGGGAGGGAGAGGAGGAGGGAGGGAGAGAGGGAGGAGGAGGAGGAGGAAGAGGAGGAGGAGGAGGAGGAAAAGCAGGGAGTGAGGGAGGGATGGAGGGAGAGAGGAGGATGAGGAAGAGGAGGCGGAGGAGGGAGGGATGGAGGAGGGAGGAGGGAGAAGGAGGAGGAGGAGGAGGAGGAGGAGGAGCCTTGAGATCTGGGCGTTGCAATTGTATTTACTCTGGGCGTCTTCGCCCGGTGTCGGGCCCCGGAGCCATCACAGATCGATCGGGCTCGGTAAATGCAGCAGAGCTATGCGGTCCGGGGCACTGGTCGTGATTTGGTTCGCGGTGTTGCATGTTGTTTTTGCAAGTTCGGATCGCAAGTTGGAAGCGAGGTTCAGGGCAAATGCCGACTATCAGAGTAGGGAAAAGCGTACGTACCGATGCCGATGCCCTGTCCTTCCCTCCCCATCCGTCCCCTCGGGCCTCCTGGGGGGGGCCCTCGCCGGACTGGACCTACCTCGGCATCCTTGCCAGATCTCACCGTGGGAGAGGTCCAGGATGTAGCGTTCGGGGCTCATGTGACGGGGGCAAGCGCTAACGGGGGTCAGCAAGTCCCCGCAAGTAACTCGTATCTTCAGCTATTCATGTTGTATTGGGTTGTTTGGCGTGGGATTCGGGATCGTATAGAGAGGGACTGCGGTGCAAACTGGCGTGTCCATGCTACTGCTTGCGCTACATTGCGATACATGTGAAGATTCTGGATGATACGAAGTGGGGGTATACATATCATTCCCCTGCTGCTGTCTACTGCGACATGGTGCATTACTGTTGACACGCACGGCCAGTCTAGACCGTTACGCGGGCCACAGGATTCCCCAAGCGACTGACATGTTCATGCGCGTGCTTCACGCTCGGGCTCGCGCACGGTTGACAAATTATCTTGTGCAGTCGCACACTCAGAACAGCAAGCATTCGGATGATGTGATCCGTGGTGGTAAGAAATCGACCTCCAGCGCCCACCAACGCAGCATCCCGACCACCCTCTTCCACCAACTCAGCACTGCGCCATCTAGCCACCAGCATCCATCTTCCCAGCTCCACCTCCAACTATCGACCTCCCGCGTCCACAAACTCGGCATTATGACCCCCAGCCGCTAGCACCCAACTCCATTTCCACCTCCACCTATTGACCTCCAACCACCAGCTCAGCACCCTGACCTCTCACATCCAGCATCCGACATCAAAGTTCACACCACCACCCTGACGTCTGACCTGCCCCGACGCCTGCGCCGCCTCCGACTCTGCTCCTTCTGGCGCCTGCTTTATGCCCGATTGCAGCCCCAGCTACAACAGCGGCCGCCGACTCCAGCTCCCCACCGACTCCAGCTCACCAGCGACTGAATTCAATGCACGACCTGCGCGCAGGGAGTTGCGCTTTTGGGCCCACGGCGCACCGGTACCAGGGCCCGTGCCCGTCACCCTGCAGCCTCCGCCCTGGCACGAGGACGGCTACCTGAAATACCTGACGTGGTTCCGACGGGCATCATCAGTCGCAGCACCAAGATGGACAGGGAGGTCTCGACATTGATGCCAGGGTGCGACGCCATGGTGGCCACGGTGTGAGCCATTCTCCCGCACGCCCGCTCCTTGGCGGGGTCTCCTCCTGTTCCTCCTCACCTTTTGACTGCGCTGTGCGTTTTGGGATTTTATATAAGTGGCCACTGGGGCCACTGGGGTTTCCCGCGCTGTGCCCCTGCCCCCTCCCCTCCCCCTCCCCTTCGTCTTCCGCGCCCCTTTTTGCTCCCGCCTCCCGCGCGATAGAAACATTGGCATATTTTCTATCAGCCGCGTCGCCGTACGGGTCGCTTGTTTCTCTGTTGCACTGTGCGCTGTCCTTGCTTTAGTCGTTGCGTGCTCCCTTTTTATATGAGTCGTCGGTTGGACCGTGTGGGGGTGCACATGCAGCGCCATGGGGCGCTGCAGATGTCACGGGGCCAGTGCGGCGCAGGTGGCGTTACAATTCTTAAAGTTGTTTTTCACCCAGTCCGGCGTCTCCCTCAGTAAAATATGTTGTAGTCTAGGCGCCGCTGCAGACAGCAGATCAGGGTATTCAAATTTGAATACCCAGTTAGCCTTGGTTCGCTGAGAATGTCCAGTCTTTAGTGACATGTTGCTGTTGGGCCGCTCAGGGAAAAATTACATATTCGAGACATTTCGCGTAACCCGACCTGTCCATCCAAAGACGATGCCCAGGCGAGTGTAGGAGCACGCAGTGGAATAGCGGGCTGCGGAAGCCTTCGTACCCCAAGAGGGAGCGGATGGAGGAGGAATCGGAAGAGGAGACGGGGGAAGCGAGCTTCCCAGGCTGCAGCCTTCGGCACGCGGGCTGTGGGGCCTCTGGCGGAGGCTACTTTCGCACGGCGCCGAGTGCTGTTTCTCTGAAGAGGCCCGAGACGAGCGGCTCCAGGCTGAGGCTGCTCTGTCGCCAGGTCTGGCCTGTCCCGTCGAAGAAGAAACAGCTGCAGAAACATGGTGCCTCGCGGGCCCGCGCGGTTCTTGGATCGGCGCTGGGCCCTGTGGGGGGTGCGATGAAGTCGTTCTGCGCCGCGCCAGTTTTGGCCCGACCCATGGAAGACCAAACACTTGCATACTACATTGAGCATTGCATCCGCAAACCACGCACAACCATTCTCCCGGTTTGGCGACAACGCGACATCGGCGAGCCGCGTGCACAAGTTTGGAATGTTCGAGCGATGCGTTGAATTGTCCACCTCCACCTGTCGACTTTCAACTTCTACCAACTCAGCACTGCGCCATCTAGCCACCAGCATCCATCTTCCCAGCTCCACCTCCAACTACCGACCTCCCGCGTCCACGAACTCGGCATTATGACCCCCAGCCGCTAGCACCCAACTCCACTTCCACCTCCACCTATTGACCTCCAACCTCCACCAGCTCAGCACCCTGACCTCTCACATCCAGCATCCGACATCAAAGTTCACACCACCCCCCTGACGTCTGACCTGCCCCGACGCCTGCGCCGCCTCCGACTCTGCTCCTTCTGGCGCCTGCTTTATGCCCGATTGCAGCCCCAGCTACAACAGCGGCCGCCGACTCCAGCTCCCCACCGACTCCAGCTCACCAGCGATTGAATTCAGTGCACGACCTGCGCGCAGGGGGTTGCGCTTTTGGGCCCACGGCGCACCGGTACCAGGGCCCGTGCCCGTCACCCTGCAGCCTCCGCCCTTGCACGAGGACGGCTACCTGAAATACCTGACGTGGTTCCGACGGGCATCATCAGTCGCAGCACCAAGATGGACAGGGAGGTCTTGACATTGATGCCAGGGTGCGACGCCATGGTGGCCACGGTGTGAGCCATTCTCCCGCACGCCCGCTCCTTGGCGGGGTCTCCTCCTGTTCCTCCTCACCTTTTGACTGCGCTGTGCGTTTTGGGATTCTATATAAGTGGCCACTGGGGCCACTGGGGTTTCCCGCGCTGTGCCCCTGCCCCCTCCCCTCCCCCTCCCCTTCGTCTTCCGCGCCCCTTCTTGCTCCCGCCTCCCGCGCGATAGAAACCTGGGCATATTTTCTATCAGCCGCGTCGCCGTGCGGGTCGCTTGTTTCTCTGTTGCACTGTGCGCTGTCCTTGCTTTAGTCGTGGCGCGTTTCCTTTTTATACGAGTCGTCGGTTGGACCGTGTGGGGGCGCACATACAGCGCCATGGGGCGCTGCAGATGTCACGGGGCCAGTGCGGCGCAGTTGGCGTTACAATTCTTAAAGTTGTTTTTCACCCAGTCCGGCGTCTCCCTCTGTAAAATATGTTGTAATTTAGGCGCCGCTGCAGACAGCAGATCAGGGTATTCAAATTTGAATACCCACTTAGCCTTGGTTTGCTGAGAAAGTCCAGTCTTTAGTGACATGTTGCTGTTGGACCGCTCAGGGAAAAATTACAGATTCGAGTCATTTCGCGTAACCCGACCTGTCCATCCAAAGACGATGCCCAGGCGAGCGTAGGAGCATGCAGTGGAATAGCGGGCTGCGGAAGCCTTCATACCCCAAGAGGGAGCGGATGGAGGAGGAATCGGAAGAGGAGACGGGGGAAGGGAGCTTCCCAGGCTGCAGCCTTCGGCACGCGGGCTGTGGGGCCTCTGGCGGAGGCTACTTTCGCACGGCGCCGAGTGCTGTTTCTCTGAAGAGGCCCGAGACGAGCGGCTCCAGGCTGAGGCTGCTCTGTCGCCAGGTCTGGCCTGTCCCGTCGAAGAAGAAACAGCTGCAGAAACATGGTGCCTCGCGGGCCCGCGCGGTTCTTGGATCGGCGCTGGGCCCTGTGGGGGGTGCGATGAAGTCGTTCTGCGCCGCGCCAGTTTTTGCCCGACCCATGGAAGACCAAACACTTGCATACTACATTGAGCATTGCATCCGTAAACCACGCACAACCATTCTCCCGGCTGGGCGACAACGCGACATCGGCGAGCCGCGTGCACAAATTTGGAATGTTCGAGCGATGCGTTGAATTGTACAGCCATCTGCATAATTCCGCGGAGTTCCACGCGGCGCAGGCCCAACATGTTTTCGCGAACCTCTAACACACTGGGAGCATTGGGCAAGGAGCCCTTAGTTCAGGAACCGAGGGTCTGGAAGCCGTGGAACTCCAATCGCAGATCGGCCATGGATGTCACTGCCGCCTTCATCAACTGAGGAGACCCCCAGGGTGTGCGCCATCTGGGGCACATTCCTGAACGAACGTCTCCATCGTGTGAGAGATCCGTGATGAACGCCTCGAAACGTTTTGACAGCCTGAGGCTGATGCAGGAGAAGGCGTTCCAGAGTGGAGGACGGGCTGGGAACAGTTTTTAGATTCCACGTTCGACATCTGCCAAGGTCAAGGTCAAGGTCTCGTACGAGCACGAAGCCAGGTCCGATACCGGACGCACAGTGAAACAATGAGGTGTTGGTGTTGTTGTTTCTGTTGTTGTTGATTAATTGGCCAATCTTCGGGAAAAGGGAGGATGAGATGACGCACGGAGAGAGAGAGAGAGAGAGAGAGAGACAAAAAAAAAACAAGAGAGAGAGAGAGAGCGAGAGCGAGAGCGAGAGCGAGAGATCATTATTCGATGGGCAAGGCCCAAGAGTACATGGGATTTGGCGAACTGCGTGGTTCAGCGAAGTGAAGAGGGCCCCGCCACTGCTCAATCAAGTAAGATGAGGAAGGGGTGGGATGGGGCGGAATAGAGAGGAAGACGGAGCGAAATGGGGAGGTGCTGGATTCGGGGGAGGGCGGAGGTGGGATGGGGGCTCGAGAACTCAGAAGGCAGGCTCTGGCTCTGGTCGACCTGGGCCGAGCCTGCCAGCAGCACGCCCCCTCGCCAAGGCTTCGGCGTCCGGTCAACCCGATAAGTCTTTCGTGCACCTCCCTTCAATGATGGGAACATTACTTCTGCGCGGGCTTATCGACATATTGGGGCCCAAACAATATTGGGCGTCTAATTCTCCCCCCGCGCGGGCCACCGCTGATGATCGGGGGGGAGATGGGGATCCCTGATGGTGATGATGGTGAGGGGAAGGACGAGGAGGGGAAGGACGAGTTGAATTGCCAGCCGAGAGCTGCATTAAAGACTTGACCGTGGTTTCAGTAGGTACGTCAAATCACAGACGTGCCTGGCGACTGGTGCCCCAAGATACTTGTTGATTTCCATTTGGGCCCGCAGACGCCTGGGGCACCCTGCGAGGCTCAGAGTCGACGAAGGATGTGCCCCCAGATTTCTTGTAGCAAGATGTCCTACCGTATGTGCCCACTGCACTCCTGGGAAGAGCGATGGCCAGCGGCACGCTGAGCCCGATTCGACAAGGGACATGCCTGTGTGACAACGGCCACCGCCGCTTTCGGACACGTTCAGCAGTGGGCCAAAGTCCCCGCACCTGCGCCCAACTCTCGGACGGGGCTAGGACGAAATCCGTCCCAGAGCGTTCCGGAAACGCTTTGAAAAGGCCGCGGCACCGGAGACAGTTTCCAGAGCCGCCGGATCTCTGAGATTTGCGATGTATCTTCGCTCGTTCTTGTCCTTGTCCTGGCTTCGTCCTAAACTCTTCTCGTGCCCCGGCAAGGGCGCTGGCAGCAACGGCAGCGGCGCCGAGGGCGGCGCCGAGGCCGCTGCCGCGGGAGGCTGCGGCCCCGACGCGGCCGAGGCTCCGGCGGGCGGGAAGGCAGCACAGCAGGGTGCTTCTGTCCGGTGGGGCAGCATTCCACTCGCCCTCAGGGCCCCATAAGCGGGGACATTGATAAATCAGGACGTTGACGCGCCCGAGAAAGTTGTAGCCGTGGCTCGAAACATGGTCCATCCTTCGTTCTCTGCATGTGGACTTCTCAAAGTCCTGGTGCCTCCTGGGGCTTCCCAGGGCTTCTGGTGCCTCCTGGGGCTTCCCGGGCCCTGTGGGTTCTGAACGGGACATTGTCGACATGGACTCTGGAAATGATTGCCAGGGTATGCTGCCCCCCCCTGGCCAGTTCTACAATCTGTCCAGCCCCGGCCAGTGTCTCTGCTGTTTAGGATTCGTCCAAGCCGCGGCGAGGTGTTCTTCCTTGTTGAGCTCGAGGTCGCAGGAACCATCTCCAGCGACAATTCGACTGCGCGAACAACCCTCCCTTCCGAGAGATTCTCAACAATTAATAATTACTTAGTTACGGTGCTGTCGCGGCATGTTGGTCAAGGGGGACGGGGGCCATGAGGGGGTCCACCAGCCACTGGAGCCAAGCCATAGGCCACGGGACGCCACTGAAGCCAAGGTGCAGACCTCATCCAGCACCCACCATGGGCGGCGCGAGGGAGGGTCGCCATGAAGGAAAGGGGTCGTGGAGGAATGGTGGCCTGGAGTTTTTGTTCGCCGTTTTCGACATCCATTGGCCCTTCCTGGGCCCCAGGACCGTCAAAACCTACTCAGGATGAGAAGCCGGTCCTGAGAAGAGCCCTGGGTTTGGGCGCTCGGCGCTTAGCGGTGGGCAGTAAACGGGGGAGAGGTCGAGGATTGTATGAAAGTAGCCCTACGGGAACCCTAGACGGCTTCTAAACTGCCCCGATGAGACCACAGCTCCCCGATCACCTACCAATGAGCGGACAGCCGGTCTCGTTCGACGTGTCCTTCCTCTTCTTCCATCCCTCCTTCTCCCAGACTGCGCTTTCAGGCGTCGCAGCGTTTCACCTTACATTCACACACCCGTGCTTTTCCGGAAGCTTCGGCACCACCCTGCAGCTCCCCGCCCCCGTGGTGCAGGTCGTGTGCCGTGTCGTCCGATGGGTCGGCGGCGAGCCCGGGGGCGAAGTGAGAAGAGGCGGGCCTTCTCGGAAGGTTCAGAAGTCCCCGGGCCTTCTAAGGAGTGTTCTCAGCATTCCCCGAAGACACAGGATATCTTTCAGAAGGCCGCAGCAGTTCTGAGAAGCCCCGCCGCCTTCTGAGAGGGCCTTCTCCTTCTCACTTCCCCCCCCCCCTCGCTGGCCGCCGAGTGTCTGCCGATGGAGTGTCTTCCGATGGAGGGTCAGGTCCTGGGCCTGTGTCCACCAGGGCCCCTGTCCCTCACGCCGAGAGGAGGCCAGGGGCCACGCCTTGCCGCTTGAGACACGGTGCGGCACCCACGCATGGGGGGCACACGACGAGGGGGCCACGAGGGGTCCACGGGCCATGGCCACGGTGCCACGGGCCACCCAAGTCGAGGTGCGGCGCTCATCGAGAGGGCCACGAGGCGGCCTCGGGGGCACAGGGTTCACCCAGCGGGCCACGGGCAACAGAAGCCGATGTGCGACGCCCCCCTTCCCCGTGCAGCTAGGTAGAGATGCTTGCAGCTGCCGGCTGCTCCGAGAAACAGGATGATGAGTGATGCTGGTGCTGGTGCTGATGCTGATGCTGCTGATGGCGACGGTGGTGATGGCGATGGCGATGGTGATGATGAGGGGGAGGCCAAACACTCGATCTGCCTCTGCGACGCGAGCTGGCAGAAGAGTTGTCTGATATCCTCCGTGCTGGGTGGCGTCTCCAGCTCCTTCATGTATAGCTCCGTCTGTAACGCTGCGCCAGCCGCCAGCCTGCAGGACGCCGAACGGGAGGCCAGGGACCCCCTTCTGTGATGTTCAGAAGAGCAAGATGCCATGACGATGAGTTATGCGCTCGATGGTTTCCACATTTCCCCGCTGCTTCGCACGGACTCCAGAAGACGAGGGCCGCCATATGCTCTGCAAGTCCTGGAACGTATCCGCCTGTTGCTTCCGAGCCAGAGCTAATTTGGGAGCTGACTCCTTCTCCATCGAACTGGACTGCTACTTATCCACGTGAGGGGTTATCATCCGCCAGTCGTGCTGACATCGTTATCATCCTGATTACCCCTGGGAGTATGTTGCGAGCCTTCCTTTCGAGCGCTTGATCGCATCACCGGATCAGGTTCTGGTGCGTCGATACCAGCTGTTACTGTCAATGTCCTCAACGGCTCGAACCATGATGCGTTGTTATCAACATTGCGTGGTTGGATGCGTTAACGCGTGCTGTGCGCCCTAGACCTAAATTGGACCGGGGCTATAAGATACGCCCCGCCCCACTCCGAGGACGCCGCCTGCTGCGCCACGTTCGGCTGCGAGGGGGCATACGACGTGGCCCAGCCCTGCCAGTGCAACAGCAGGTGCGAGGAGTTCTCGAACTGCTGCCCGGACTTCCAGGCCCGTCCTCGCTTTGCCCATCAAGACCTCGAGGAGATTTGGAAGAGGAAGAGGAGGAAGAGCAGGAGGAGGAAGACGAGGTGGATGATGATAATGCTCCGTAGCCCTTTTGGCTCAAGTCCGCATCGGTGTGGCTCAGGGGCTTGACATCGGAGGGGCGGCCCCAAACAATGTTGACCCGGATGTTTGGTGCTGCTGTCAGATAACATATTTGTTCGCGCACTGGTTCTTCCCATGAGGTCGGCAATGATGACGAAGGAGGAGGGACAGCCAGAGTACACCCAATGTAACGACGATGAGGCATCCAGCCTCCCGTCCCAGGACCTTCCTCACAAGCCCTTAGAAGCATGATGCTGCCATCCGTGTAGCAGTTGCACCAGGTTGTACTTCATGGTCCTGATATCGAGCGATGTCTCAAGCAAGAGCTCGATGTTTGCGAGGAGCTGCATTCATCCATGCAAAACGGTTGCACTGGTCATGATGGTGAGGGGGTCTCAGGCGAGAGCCCCACTCTGAAAAGGGACCTGTCTCCATACATCTAACCATTCGATGTGTTTGAAGACGAGTGCGGGCAGCGCCAAGGCGAGAGCCCCATTTGGAAAGCCAGCTGCCCTCTACCCATGTAGCTATTTGAGGACTCGGGTGTGTGTGTGTGTGCGTGTGTGCGTGCGTGCGTGTGTGTGTGTGTTTGTGGTTTGTGGTTTGTGGTTTGTGGTTTGTGTTTGTGTGTGTGTGGGTGTGGGTGTGGGTGTGGGTGTGTGTGTGTGTGTGTGTGCGCGGCGCCAAGGCGCGAGGCCCATTTTGAAAACGACTGCTCTCCCCACCCTTGCAACCGCTAGAAGCTTCAAGCTTGAATATCGTAAGCGGCCCGACCGACCCTACCAACAATTCAGGTGGTGCGACAGGGAGGAGTCGTTCACAATGCGGCGTGGAGAAGAGAGTAGCAGGATGGAGAGGGAACTCCAGGCGTTCTGCAGCCCAGGCCCTGGCTGGGTACCAGCGTAAGTCTCCAGCAGCCGTTGCCAGTGCCCTCTCCGTTGCGCCGAGTTCTCTCGATCCTGGGCCTGTCTGGTTCTTCCACTATTTGCTTGTGGCCCCGAGCTCGGAGAGCGAAATGGCCTTCTCCGCTTCTACTTCTCTCACCCGCCTTGCGCATCCTCTGAAAATTTCGCGTGGCGGTGAAGGGAATCTGGATGATTATGATTTGGCTTCTGCGGGACCCTCCGAGGAGTTGTTCGCCCCCGCCTTCTACGACCGTCCAAGGCGAAGAATTCGCCTGCCTCGTACACCCAGAGGCTCCCAGAATGCCTCCCAGGACTTCCAGAGACTTTCAGCGGTCTCCCAGGACATGAGGGACTTCGAGGCTTTCTGGAGAGCCCCCCCAGGTGGCATCTGGCGCAGTTGCGCTCCCTCCGGTGCCCACCTGCACTGCCAGCGCGTGGCTTCCAGCACCCTTGTCTTGCTTCCCAGGAGCCATCCCCCGCGAGCCTCCCATGGGCTGCCAACTGAGGAGGAGGAGGAGGAGGAGGAGGAGGAGGAGGAGGAGGAGGAGGAGGAGGGAGGAGGCGGGAGGAGGAGGAGGAGGAGGGAGGAGGCGGGAGGAGGCATGAGGAGGAAGGGTGAAAGAGGAATGATCAACGTAATTACAAACGTGCGTCCCGCTGCCAGACGGCCCAAGAGGCTGGCAGAAGACCCCAGTATGGTCCCCCCCCCGGGGGGGGGGGCAGGGAAGAGCAGGGAGGAAGACGAGGAGGAGGCGGGAGAGGATGAGGAGGAGACGGTGACGGAGGATGTAAGGACAAGAGGGTGGGGAAGGAGGAGGGACGAGGAGGAAAAGGAAGAGGATTGAAGAATGAGATGGTGGGTGAAGAGGGTCGAGATGACCCCGCTCGTTTTTTGGAGCGGGAGATTGACGAACGGCGGCCCGGGCGATTGGCCGTTCCTCTGGATACGGTGGAAATCGAAAGCCAGGAGCGTCTCGCGCTTCGTAGGAGTGGACCAGGGAGAGGTGGAAAAGCGAGGACGGCGCCGCGTTTGGGGGCCTCTCCCTGCCCTGCAGCCGTCCCGGGCCGTGGCCCCCCCCCGCCGAGTGGGGGTGGGACGCTGAAAGGGGGAAGGCGTTTTCGCGTGTGAGTGCCCCTCCGTCCCGCGCGTGGGCGCGGTGCGCATGGAACAGTGAAGACAGGTTTGGCGGTCAGGAGCCCCTCGGGGGCAGGAACCTGAACACGACCCTGCGTGTGCCACCGCCACCGCGCACAGTGTAGTGGACATTCCTCCGGGACGGTTCGAGCGTGGAGCGTTCAACAAGATGTGCACGCTACGTTTCGGACGAAGGCCCGTATACCTCAGTGTTTATACGTGCGGCTCCCAGCCCGTCTCGTCTCAAGGGCCTCGCCCCACGCCAGGCTGTGGCGTGTTGGCTGCCCCGGGCTGCTCCGTCGTTGGCCACGGGGCTCTCTCGAACCGTCGTACTCCCCCGTTCGGTTGCGTATGCGGCTTGGGCAGACGGTCGGGGTGGTTGGGTGGCCTCGCTAGTAGGCCAGTTGGCTAGGATGACAGCAGGCGCATCGAACAAGACATCGGCTGCCAGCATGTGCCCCATGGAAGTTTCGTATCGCAAGATGGCCCCAGGGACCCAGACAAGCTTTTGGGCACCTTAGGACCCTTGATGTTTGACGAATGCGTCCCAAGATTTCTTGTTGCAAGGGTTGGCTGGCTGGTTGGCCTCTCTGGTTTGTTGATTGGCCATCTGTGGGCATTGGATATAGTAAGGAACTTTGGCTTAGCGCGTCACACTGCTGGTTCTGCCCCACTACGCTTCCTCGCGACACGCTAGCCACGCCCCAGTCCCCGAGGTTCAACGTCCCGAGCCTTTTCCCAGACTGCCGCCCCGTGGATAGAAGCGACACGCTATCAGCTCGCACGCACAGCGTGTCACAGGAGCCGAGCCGCCGCCGATGCACGCCGACCAAAAGTCCTTCACCGTATCCACATCCACGGTCTCGCGGTCTGGACTCCTCGGCCGCGACCCGCCTTCGAGACAGGGCGGCTAGTGGAAGCCCTGCACGGAACCAGACCGGTATTCAGAGCGCGAGGGCATGGATGAGGATTTGTTCGTCGCCCTTGGTCAGGGTAGTTGGCTTCAATGGGAGGTACGTGAGTCCCGAGGCACCTCCAGATCCCATTGCTCGTTCCAGCCTCTGTGGTCACGTCGGGGGGGGCCATGGGCGAGTCGAAGAAGCCTCTGCCAGATGCTCAAGACTGGTGCCTACCCTGCTCTCCTGTCCCCCGGGGTGGGGCCTCCTTTTTGCCCTCACGCCCTCTGCGTGCAGTGGAGGCCCCCCAGACGGTGTTGTGGCTAGACCGCGTGGTGAGTCAGAGGAGATTCGGGGTCACCGCGCGGTTCTGGGACTCGGGTCGTTTCTCCGAGGACGTCTCGGGCGACTCGGGCCTCCAGAGTTCCAGAACCGTGCGGTGACGCACCGCGCGGTGAGGTCGGCGGGGATTCCGAGGTCGCCACGCGGTGCGTCACCACACGGCTTTGGGGCCCCGTAGTTCATCGATGTCGATCGCCCTTGCGGCTCGGCCCTCGCAGATTGGCCAAGGTCAGCCGAGCGGCCCCTTGGCCCCCAGTCTCTCAGCAGAGGCCCCAGCAGGGCGTCAGCAGCTCCCTCCTTCGGCTCCCCGGCTCCTCTCGTCACCCCTCCTCTCGCCTCCCCTCTCCTTTCTCTCGGCCCCCTTGGCGGGGCACGAGCAGAAGGGGCCGGGGGATCGCGCCGCAACGCCGATGCATCGGCGATGCGGGCTCGATGTGGACCTCGACGTTCTCCACGCCAGCGGCGCCGAGGCATCGCCGACACCATCTGCCCGGACCCCATCTGGGAGGCCTCCACTCTCTCCCTTTTCTTTCCTTTTCCCCCTCCCCCTCCCCCTCCCGCCCTCCCACTTTCCGTTCCTTTTCCTTTTTCCCCTCCCTTGCGTTTCCCCCTACTGTTCTTTTTCCCTCTCCTTTCCTATTCCCCCCTCCCCCTACCACGACCTCCTCTCCGCTCCTTTCCTGGCTCCTTTCCTGTTTCCCCTCCCGTTCCCGCCCCTCCTTCCCTCCAAGCCCCCATTGTTCTCTCCCAATCCCCGGTCGCCGGCGCCATGTTTTGCTGCATGGCGTGGACTCCCGGAGGTCTCGACCCGTTCCCCGGGAACGGCCTTTCATCCCGAGCCGTTGTTCGGCGACGAGCGAAGGGGGGGCGTGAGAAGGAGAAAAGGCCTTCTCAGAAGGCGGCGGGGCTTCCCAGAAGCGCTCCGGCCTTCTGAACAGTTTTCGGTGCCTTCGGGGAAGGCTTACGTAGAAAGCTTCTCGGGGAAGGCCGGTGGACTTCCTAGCCTTCTGAGAAAGCCCGCCGCTTCTCACTTCCCCCCCCTGGGCTCGCCGCCACGATCCCGGGGCCAGGCGAGGGCCCCTTGAGGCAGAGAGCAGCAGGAGACCTCCCGTCGGTACTTCTTCACGGCGCGAGCATGTCTGGGATCCCCTCCCCCTCCCCTCCCATCCCAATCCCTTCCGCATCCATCCGTCCACTCTTGACTTCCCTCCGAGCGCGATCCCGAGGCCGTGTGTGCGGCCTCCCTGAAGACCAACGCGCAGACCACGGAGAGCCCACCACCGCAGACCACGTCAGCGCGCTCGATGGGCTCCCCGTCGCTGCTGTGCTTCTCGGTGATCAGGTCTGGCCTTCCGCTGAATGCGTCGTTCCTTCTGACGCCCTCTTACGGTCAAGAACTTTTGCTTAGCGTGTCGTTCCGCCGATTCTGGCCCACCGCGCTTCCAAGCGACAAGCTAGTCACGCTCCAGTCCATGAGCGTCAACGTCCCGAGCCTCTGCGAGCCTCCCGCGCGACACACTAAGCAAAGGTAGACCCCCTCGCGTCGCGAAAAAATCTGGATGGGAGTCTGGCGGTTTCCGGCGTCTGGGGGACCCTCGCCAGGCCACGGGACCGCCGAAAACCGATTCGGGGATGAAAGTCAGCCTTGGGGAAAGGGTCGGGACTGTCGGGCACCCTGCCTTGAAGAATCAAGACACCGCATGTTTGGGTGTCGCTGCTCCTGACGACTACTTCGTCCAACATGATTATGTACGCCCCTCTCTCGGTCAAAAAGGATGCCGCCGGAGGTTCTTGCCTCAGGAGGTGCGTTCTTGCCTTCCTTGGCGGCGCGCACAAGAAGGTGGCGCGAAGGTGGCGGCCTTATGAGGAAGCAGGAGAGATTATGAGAAGGCACGGAGCATGGACCTTCCTAGAAGTGCCTGGGAAAGGCCGGGAAGGCTTCTTAGACGTTTCCCCGCCTTCTTGGAGAGTCGCCCCACCACCCCCTCATGCGCGCCGCCGGCTTCCAATGCACGTGTCGCTCCTTCTCGCATCGTTGTAGTCCAGCAGGGTTTGCACTCGTCGTCTCCAGGTCCAGCAGGCGGCCCCGGAAGGTTGCGCAGCCGGGAGGTGCGGGCTTCGAAGACGACGGTTTTTTTTTATCTTATGTCGTGGGTTTCTTCACCAGGGACTTCGACGTGCTAAATCACGTCTCCTGACGTCCTCTCAGTAAGATCTTGGATCCCGCGTGAATCGTTTACATGTTTGGTCCCCGCCCCTCCTGGGCATTGGCTGCGCGCACAGCGACACGTCCCATGTGCGTATCGCTTTGCTTGGCACACATCCCAACGACGCATGGGGATGGGCACTCCTTAGTCACGTCGATCGCGTCGCCCACTGGCACGCCGATGGCGCTGTCCAGCCCTGGCGTCGCTGCGTCGCATGCGCGTCGATGTTTCTGACAGCGCATGTGCCAGACATCCTCCGATACGATTTCTTCAATCCGCGGCACCAGAACTCCTGACACCCTCCCGGGGGGTAGGCTTGCGCCCCAGGACCCGAAAGCGGCCCCCCGAAGGCCGTCATGAAAGAAAACATCCCGGATTGAAAAATCACATCGTCGGAGAGTCGTATGTTTTTTTGACAGCGCTGTTGGTTCCGTGCACGCGTCCCTGCTGCACTCCCGAGGTCCGAGGGCAACGAGATCGGCCTGGTGGGCGCCCAGCACGACCGGCACGCCGCCATCTTCGCCTGCGACACCACGCTCGTCTTCTCCAACGGCCCCTCGATTCGCATCGGGACGATGGACACCGTGTCGATCCCCACCGAAGCCATCGGGTTGCGAGCGCCGGGGAAAGTCCCCCTGCCAGACCCCCTCGGGTCATACAGAAAATCACGATGGAGGGTGTTTGGCCATTGTAGGCCTCCGTTGGGCCCTGCCAGGCCCCAGGACAGTCAAACATGGTCGACCCAAGAGCCCGGAAAGGGATGTGGAACTGTGAGGCATGGCAACGTTTTCAAGACACCTAATCGGGCGACGGGCAATTGCAATGCTCAATGTATCGTTCTTGGTGTGCCGTGCCCAGGGTTGTGCTGTGCTGTGCCGTGCTGAACTGCGATGACCCATGCCGCGATTGTGCTCCATGGCGTTGTGGATCGAGTCCTCCTTGGCATTCGAGTCCTGACCGAACTGATCTGAATCTTCAGCTCGAGCTGCCTGGGCACATAGTAGCCGCCCCAGAGCTAGTTGAAGTGGAAAAGTGGAGGACGCTCAATCAACTCGACCTCAAAATCCGACTCAGCTCCGAAAAGGAACGACACGAAAAGGGGCACAGGCTCACGGACGCGCCTCAGGATGTGCCAGGGGCGCAAAAGGGGATGCGCCAGGGGATGTGCCAGGGGACACATCAGGGGACGTGCCCTGGACGTGTCAGGGACCGGCCATGGGACGTGCCAATGCGCGTGCCATGGGGCGACCAGAGGACGTCATGCCAAGGGACATTGCAAGGGGCCCGCCACGGAACAGGCAGGGGAAACGCCTGGGGACGAGCAAGGAAGCGCGACAGCGGACGAGCCAGGGAACGTGCCACGCCGAGTGGCGTGCTAGTGGACGTGCCAGGGCACGTCACGCCTGAACGTCGCAAGGGACGCGCCAGGGGGCGCGCCAGGGCGCCAGGGGACGCCCCACGGACGGGCGGGGTTGGACTGCGACGCACTCTACTGCGACAAGCATTTCGCTCGAAACATCCTCAACAAATTCGCATGTTAGATGTCCGCCTGGGCGACCTGGACACGAGAAACCAAACGCCTCGCTCGAGACGGTTTCAACACCTCCTCATGCTAGGTATCTGCCTGAGCGACCTGGACACGTGAAAGCAAGCGTCTCGCGCAATACATCCTCGACATACCCTCATGTCAGACATCCGCCTGGGCAACCTGGACACGTGAAAACAAGCGTCTCTCTCTCTTTCTCTCTCTCTCTCTCTCCTCTCTCTCTCTCTCTCTCGAGGCATCCTCAACACATCCTCATGCTAGATATCTGCCTGAGCGACCTGGGCACGTGAAACCAAGCGTTTCGCTCGAGACATCCTCAACACCTCCTCCTGCCAGACATCTGCCTGGGCGACCTGGACACGTGAAAGCAAGCGTCGCTCTCTCTCTCTCTCTCTATCTCTTTTTCTCTTTTCTCTTTCTCTCTAGACATCATCAACACGTCCTGATGTTAGACATCCGCCTGAGCGACCTGGACACGTGAAAGCAAGCGTCTCGCTCGAGACCTCAACACATCCTCATGCTGAACATCCGCCTGAGCGACCTGGACACGTGAAAGGAAGCGTCTCTCTCTCGAGACATCCTTAGCAGATCCTCATGTTAGACATCCGCCCGTGCGACCTGGACACGTGAAAACAAGCGTTTCGCTCAACACGTCCTTAACGCATTCTCATGCTAGACACCCGCCTGGGTGACCTGGACAAGCGAAACCAAGCGTCTCTCTATCAAGGCATCCTCGACACATCCTCATGCTAGACATCTGCCTGGACGACCTGAACGCGTGAAAACAAAGGTATCGCTCGAGACATTCTCAACACATCGCTGATGTTATACATCTGCCTGGGCAACCTGGAGGCGTGAAACCAAGCGTCTCGCTCGAGACATCCTCAAGACCTGGGCACGTGAAAACAAGCATTCCACCTGAGACATCCTCTGAATTCTGGTCCCCAAGAGAGGAACGAACTATAGCACAAAACAAACGTTTCGCTCGAGACATCCTCAACAAAGTATGCAAAGCAAACGTTTCGTCCGAGACATCCGAAACGAACATGTTTATGTTACCCTGTGTTGTATCGATCGGAATTTCAAACACCAGCGCTTCTCTCGGGGCACCCTCAAGTTTTCATTCGCCAGCCCATCTCGACCTTGTCATTTATGTCGAGGCTGGGGGGGAAACAGCTAAAAGAGAACGCTGGACCAACGCCCTATCTGGGACAAAATCCGCGACGAGCTCCGAAAGTTAATGCTTATCCGCTGTTCTTCCTCCAGGAAGTCCGCCCAGTCCCTACGCACGAGTGCGAAGGCTCCTGGAGCCCATTTTTTGATTCCTCTCGCTTCGCGGGGTGCACGTCCGGAGCACGTGCAGTCCAGCCGTTGTGGGGCTTTTTGGAAGCCTCCTGGGGGGTTCTTGGAAGCTTCTTGGAGGCTTCCTGTGGCGTTTTGGGGGTCTCCTGGGGGCCTCTTGGCGGCCTCTTGGGGGCGTCTTGGGCCGTCTTGGGCCGTCTTGGGGCGCTTTTGCGCCGTTTGGCCCCTTCGGGGGCCTTCTTGGGAGCCTCTCGCGGCCGCCTTCGGGCCCTCTTGGAATCCTCATGGGCCGTCTTGGGGGCCTCTTGGACCGTCTTGGGGCCCCCTTGGGTGCTGCTTGGGCTGTCTTGGGGCCATTTTGGAGGCTGCTAGGGCCGTCATGGGCCTCTGAGAGCCGGGAAAGGCGAGAACGCGAAATTCTTTGAAACAACTTAAGGAAAATCGATGTTTTTGGCCTCTGGCGGCGTTCTGGTGGGCGCTCTGAGGGCCCTCTTGGGCAATCTTGGGGGCTTTGTGGGCCCTATTGGGGCCATCTTGGGCCGTCTTGGGGCCGTCTTGTCCCGTCTTGACACCATCTTGAACCGTCTTCACGCCCTCTTGGATCCCCAAAAGGCTCAAGGTGCCCAAATCATCGGTTTTCCATAGGTTTTTCTAGATTTTGAGGCCCAGAAGGGGCCCTCCTCCTGAGGGTCGATGGAAGTGGCGCGACTCCAGGGGGGGGTAGGGGGGGACACATAATAATGTAACATGATACAATATGTAGGAATTATGCAAGCATTGGACACATTGGATCCATTGCATTACAGCATCCGCGGACCTGCCTCCGGCAACACGTCACTTCCGGACGTGGATTCTCTAGGCTTACGCCACATCCGCCGACCCCTTTAAGGGGGGTTGGGTGTGTGGGGGTCTGTTTTGAGCACATGTGTGGTCCCGCGGGTCACGGTATAGTCAGGTGGTCGAGGCGCTGCGGCGGCGACCCAGCAGCGGACGTTCGAGGTGGAGCGTCGCCGGTGGCCAATAATATATTTGGTGCTCGGCGTTTTTTTTGTCTTTTTCTGTTTTGGGGGGCGCCTGGTTCTTTTCGCGGGGGCGTCCTGGCAGCATTGATGGAGAGCTTCTGGGGGCCTCATGCTGTTTCTGTGGGGGCCCGCGGCTTTACATTGCCGTTTGGATCCTGCGGTAGGGCCGTCCCAGAGCTTTCTTGGAGGCATCTTGGGCCGCGTGGGTGCCATCTTTGGCGTCTTCGAACGATCATTTGGCGGCTCGGGGTTCTGGTGAGTTGTCGTGGGGGCCCTTTGGGAGTTGCCGAGGCTGGACCCCACTTGAAAACTGGAGTGGATTATGTGATCAAAGAGGGATGGGCGAGCTATTCGTGGGTGCCGTTCCCGGATGTTCCGGAGTTGGAAACTCTGAGGCACACGTGGGTGCTGGTGCGGAACGAGCGCCCGAGGAACCCGAGTTTTCATGGAGCGCCGCAGCCGAAGCACGGAGCGGGGCAGGAGGATAGGAACGGGCTCTTGTTGATGGTCTATTTTCGGGCGTTCGCACTGCGTGACGACGTCGAATGTGGAGTGCCGCACCTGCAGGACTTCCGCGGGGCGCAGGGGTCGTGGGCGGAGGCGTCATTGGATTGGTTAAAGAAAGGCATGCCATGTGAAGAAACAAAGAGGCACGTGCAGAACTACATGGGCGCGGTGGATATGCGACCAGTCACGGACGAAGATCTAGTGAAACACGAGGACGAGCTTTACAGCTATGAAGAACTGGATCCGAGAATTGTCGACGCGGCGACAAGGCGAAAGACGCATGTGGGAGGCGCGTCCATGGAGAAAAAGGACAGGCGGATAAATGTAGATGCGGAGTGCGAAAGGGAGAAGAGCCGGGAGGCCATGGCCAGGGGCGACGCCGTGCGGGGCGCGAGCACTGGTCGGATGAACGGAAAGCGCAAGAAGCGCGGAGGGGGCGGCGTGTTGAGGTGGGACGACGCGGAAGTGAAGAAAGTGCAAGCGGTGGCCGCGGCGTCGAAGGCCGCAGAAGGCAGCGGCGCGGGTGGAGAGGAAGGTGCCCCAGAGGTGGTGGCGGCCAAGAAAGCAACAGCGTCAAGCGTGCGGAGATGGAGGCAAGGGCTTGCGGAGAACGGGTTGAACGCGGGACAGCGTAGCGTCGTTGAGAGGGTGGCAGATCGCGCGTCGGCGCAAGAATTCGGGGGGTCCGCGAGCGGCAAGAAAACAGGGCAGAGTGGTCTTGATATGCAGCCCCTCGCGTGGACGTTGCATGGCGGCCCAGGGGCTGGGAAGAGTTTCGTCATAGACAAGATCCGGAAGGAGCTGTTCGAAAAGAGCTGGAGTGGACGCACGGCGTAGATTTGCAGGCGGCAGCGTTGCAGGCTACAAACGCGCCAGCTCTCGACGGGAATACGATTCACAGTGCATTTGGGCTCGGTGTGAACAAAACGAAGGAGAAGGACGCGGCGGGCAATGCCAACGCAGAGACGAAGAAGAAAACGAAGAAAGAGCAAGCGGCGCAGCATATGTCACAGTGGAAGTGGCTGATTGTGGACGAGGTGAGCATGGTGAGCGCAAACTTCATCGCGGAACTCGATTCGCATCTGCGGACGTGCATGTCAGCTGCGAGTGGCACGAAAGTAGGGACAGACGGTGTGGACAGGCCGTTCGGGGGCATCAACGTGTTGTTCTGCGGAGACTTTTATCAGTTAGAGCCTCCCTCGGGAACGGCCATCAATGCGCTGCCCACATCGT